TGAAGCAATGAGGGGCGTGATTAACTTTTTAGGAGTGGAGTTCCCTGGGACCATCAAGGGAGAAGAGCAGAGAGCAGGACCCTACCAAGAAAAGCAGTGATGCCTGATATGGGGGCAGACACGATGACGTGGAGAGATGGAGCAGGTGGGGATTTTAGACCCAGAGAGGGAGACGGGCTGTGTGCTGATGACCGGGGGGCAAGGGTGCCAGCCTTACAGCGTATACTGTTTGGTTGGTTGATGATGCATGGAGGGGATTGTAAACATGGCAAGGAAACAATAAACGATAGGATGAATGTAAAACTAATGTTCTCCCATGTAAACTACCACATAATTCACACACACACACACAAAAAAAGATAATGGACTATTAATCTTTTCATTGGATTTGAGTCAAAGTTTACAGGAAAACTTTTTTTTTTTTTTTTCATTTAACAATTCATACACATTTAGATTCATGGCATTTATTGCAGTCCTTACAAAGTAACAGCACTCTTTCCACTTCCTTCCTGTGTTTATTATTTCCATTCATCCTTCTTTCCTATTCATTCCTGCCTCCCAAGTTTCATCCCAAGGCTAATGCTACTCTTTTGATTTCCTATGGTTGATTGTTCTAAGGAGTTGTTGTTGTTGTTAGGTGCCATCGAGTTGGTACTGACTCATAGTGACCTTATGCACAGCAAAACGAAACACTGCCCGATCCTGGGCCAACCTCACTATCATTGCCACAATTGAGTCCATCGATGCTGCACTTGCCCAATCTGTCTCGTTGGGAGGTCTTCCTTTTTTTATCTCTGACCCTCCACCTCACCAAACTTGATATTCTTCTCCAGTGACTAGTCCCTCCTGACAATATGTCTCAAGTATGAGAGACGAAGTTTGGCCATCCTGGTCTCCAAGGAGCACTCAGGCTGCACTTCTTCCAACACAGATCTGTTGGTTCTTTTGGCAGCCCACAGCACTTTCGATATTTTCTCCTCCAATACCATAACTCAAAAGCATCAATTCTTCTACGGTCTTCCTTATTCTAAGGAGTAGTATTCACTTCACGTGTTATTTATTGTTCTCCCGGTAGGTTCTGACTATTGTTTGGATGAAAGTTGAGCCATGACATGAGGGTGAGTTCAGTTCCAGACCTGAAAAGTAACTTAGATCTACAGTCTCAGAATATTCCACCAGTCTCCATCATACTAGTAAAAGTCTATCTTTTTATGATTTTGAGTTTTGTTTCATTTTTCTCCCACTCTATCCAGAACATTTTGTTGTAATCCATTTCAGAGAGTAGTTAACAGTGGTAGCTGGGCACCATCTGGTTCTTCTGATCTCAGGATTATGGAGCTTGGGGTTCATCAACCCTTTGGAAACTATATATATTTGAAATAGACTATAGCCAATAAAACCCAAATATCAAAATATCCTCTAAATTGAACCGGAGTCAATCCAATACATGTGGTTTAGATGACTTTCCTATTACTATATCTTAAAAGTAGCCATGGATGGAAAATACTCCAAAGACAGAAACAGAATTTCCATCCCTCTCCCCTTTCTTTAGTGTCCTTAGTGTCCTTTTTACTAGCATCACACATAGTGGTCACTCAGGAATATTATGTGATGATAGAAGTTTCATAACGTGGCATCCATTTAAGGAAAATGATGAGTGTGCTAAATTGTCTGCAAAATTTTACCAATCCAGATTTTGACATTTAAAATTCTCAAAAAAAATTTTTTTGGCTCCAATATTTGTCACAACTTTGGACATTCTTGGTTCCACATGAACTTCAACCTAGAGCAGACTTGCGAGATGTTTTGCATGAAAAGGCCTGTCTAGGAAGTTAATCCAATTTGGCGATGATGAATATTCAGAAACCCTGAAGAAAGCTGGGACTCAAGCATCAGGAATTATGCCAAGCTGTTCCAAAGATAGTCTTCCATAGATTTATGATAAGGACTTGGGTGACTTCCCAGGATCTTTCCAAAACATGTAACTCACTACTACTCTTATGATGAGTTTGACAAATGCCCCCATCACACACATCACAGAATGTCCTCAGTAATTCTCTACCTGGTCTGATTCTGCGTATACACTAACCCAACTGAAGATCAAGTCTGGTGTTGCTCTTCTAGGTCCTAGGCAACCTTGATAACATGTTTTGAAATCAAGAAGTGTGAGTCTTCCTACTTTGCTGTTTTTTTCCAGATTATTTTAGCTATTCAGGGCCCCTTGGTACTGTATGTAAATTTGAGGATTGGCTTTTTACTTTTCATTAAAAAAAAAAAAATCACAAAAAAACAAAGGCTGTAGAATTTATGAATTGTTTAGGCTAGTAATTGACATCTTAATATTAAGTCTTCCTGTTCATGAACAAAGACAGTTCCTCCATTAATTTAGGTGTTCTTTCATTTTTTTTTTTTTTATTAGTGTTTTATAGTATACAAGTCTTTCACCTTCTTGGTTAAATTTGTTTTATTCTGTTCAATGCTATTGTGAATGGAATTGTTTTCCTAGACAATTTTAATGATCCTGAAAATGATCGGCCTCACTGTCAGAGAACAAAGCAGTGCCAACTATGGTACAGTAGAGACATAGAACTGGAGTCCAAGGACCTAAGACAATTTCACATGGTCTGGCACACCAGTCCTGGACCCCTACAATGATTGCACCAGTCGGCACCTTCAGGCATAGTTCACCAGGACCCCAACTAGCTCCCTAGTCCACCCCCAGGACTTATACCAAACCTTTGGCCTCCTGCCCCCAAAGCACCCTCACCACATAAGACTTTGCTTCCTACTCCTTAGAAGACAGAAGACATAAACTATTTTTTTTTTTCAATAAAAACAACAACAAAATACATCTCCTGTGGAGTCAACTGTGACTCAAGGTGACCCCATGTGTGTTAGAGGGTTTCAATGGCTGATTTTGTGGGAGTAGATCTCCAGGTCTTCCTTCTGAGGCACCTGGTGGACACAAACTCTAAGCTTTGAGTAGTAGCCAACCACATTAACTAGGTGCATCATTCAGGAACTCCAAGAGCCTCCTTAATTGCCCCTTCCCAATTAAAAACCCTCTCTACATCTCACCTTCCTTTCTTCCTCCCAAAGTCTTAGAGGAAAAGTCTCTCTCGTTCCAAGGCCACATCCTCCGTCTACGTCTAGTCACTCCTCCTGCTCCTGGACCTTTTACCAAAATGTATTCCATGTTCTCAGAACCTGTTGATATCTCTCTTCAGTGGACCTTCCCTGCCACTTACAATGTGCTCAGAGTCCCCACCCTAAGGCACCTTTCTGGGCCTTGAGCTACACCTGTGTTTCTTTTTCCTCTGACAAATTTCTAAAGTGCAGCTTCCACACCCGACTCCACAACCTGGTACCTTCTCAGTCATCATCTTCCTGCAGCACAGCTCCTGACCCCACGCATCTATTGACTGTTCTTCTCCATCACTGACGGCAATGAGCCATCTTCCTAGTCTCCACATGCAATGTTATTCCATTTGTAAGGTCTTCATTTCCAGGGTCACCCCAGCCCACCCTCAGAAATAAGTGCCATGTGACTCTTGTGAAATACAATTCCTAACCTAACACCCCACTTTCCAAAAGTCTTTCTTCAGTGGTCCTCCTTACCTACAGCGTCAGCTCTCGAGTGCTGTGTACGCCAGTTCTAGTTTACAGCTTCAAACCATTCATTTTATCCAAAACCTACCATCCTTCATTTTCCAGGTCAAAGCCAGCACCTCCTGAGCCCCTCAAGGTGGAAATACTCTCCCTATCTCCTCTGAATGCCTGTTGTTGTTGCTATGTGCCGTGGAGTCAGTTCCGACTCATAGCGACCCTGTACAGGGTTTCCGAGGCTGTAAATCTTTATGGGAGCAGAACGCCTCATCTTTCTCCCGAGGAACAGCTGATAGTTTCGAACTGCAATGCCTATATAGCACTTTTTTTGTGTGCAAGGAGACCAACTTGTACATATTTTTAGTATCTTATAGCACCTAATACAGGTCTTGCTGGAAGAGGGTTGCAATAAATGCTTGCTGGATGAACAGTATCTGTGTGGAGCTATAGCAAGAATTTACTCTCTTTGTGTTTACCCATAACACTGGGGGGTCATCAAGTGGGCAGTGCCATGCGAGGCAACCCAATGTCCTTTCCAATCTCACTGTCAACCTCTATGCTTCCCTCTCTTCAGGGAAGGAAGACGCTACAAGTCAATTACAAATTGTTTGAAAAGCTGTATTAATAATTTCCTAAGATGAAAGAAAGACTGCCTTTGAAATTAACTGTTAATTCTTGTGCTGCTGAAGAACTGTCAAGCGTGGCTCACAGTGAGTACACTATTGAAAGTGCTGCAGACATCAGAGAAAGCTGTGAGCCATGACATTTGAATGTCCTACACAGCTTAGTCTTTCCTCAGATAAGCCACAGCTGCCTCCTTAATGAGTCCCTGTTTATACACAGAAAGGCAGAAAATGGAGTGGTCTCTGCCAGGGATCTAACAAGAACACAGACTACATGGACATAGAGAAATCTAGAAAATTCTAGAGTAAAGCAATATGAGGCATTGCCACAAAATTTGAAAGAAATCAGTGTAGGCCAGGGGAAAGAAAATGCTAATTTTACACTAAAAAATAACAAACTCACTGGCATCAAGTTGATTCCAACTCATAGCAACCCTATTGAACAGAGTAGAACTCCCCCCGCCCCCCACCCCAGGGTTTCTAAGTCTGTAAATCCTTACGGGCGCAGACAGCAGCATCGTCTTTCTCATGTGGAGTGGCTGGTGGGGTTTGAACCGCTGACCTTGTGGTTAGCAGTTCAAGGCTTAACTCATTGTGTCACCAGGGATCCTAACTTCAGTACCTAGTAAAAACAGAAATCCTTATCCCAAGAGACAGCTTAAGCTAAACAGGCAAACAATTAAGCTGAACATATAAATAATTAAGCAAAACATGTCTGTAAACTAGATTTAAATAAAATCTCAGTTGATTTGATATTGGGATGGACCTTACCTTTGAAGTAGACATTAAAGCGAAAGGACATTCTCTTCTAAAACCCACTTGTCTTTTTACCGCATATGATTTTGTAAAAAGAATATCTGATTTGGTATCTAGGGATCTGGGTTTTGCCACCAACTTGGGCAAGAACCTTTTAAAGTTCTCTCTAATTTCTGTCCTTCAATTTCCTCACCTAGCTGGGGATAACTAATGGTCACCCTTTTTCTTCTCCTGAATCAATAGTGGGGTATTACCTCAAACTCAGATTAAGTAAAGGGGACCTAGAGTAACCTCTACTGTGGTGAGCATCCCTTCTTCCTTTGTTTGGAGACAAGACTACATCACAGCCTTCTTGTTGTCCAGTATTTGTTATTGATTAGTACAGTCATTCAGTGACTGGGGACACCTTCAGCCTTCTCTGTACCCTGAGTACTAGGTCGGATGTGGTTAGGTTGCGATTCATCTGCTCAACGGATGCCAGATCGGCAGAGTCCCTCAGGGTAAAACTTTCCCTCCAAAGGGTATTCAGTAACTGTTTTTCTGGAAGCAAATCACCAGGCCTTTCTTTTGCAGTATCTCTGGGTGGATCCAAACCATTAACCTTTAGGTTAGCAGTCTAGCATGTTAATCAGTGCACCACTCAGGACTCCAGGTGTTGAGCAAGTCCAAAACAGAACTCCTGGTCTGTTTGAAAAAAAAAATCATCTATATGAAAAGACAGTAATGTACTTGCTTAAAATTCAAGAGGGTAAGGGTTCATTGTCATAACAGAAGCAACACAATCAAGATGCTAAAGGAGCATGGAGCAGGCTGGGAAAGGGAGGATATTCCAGCCCAGAAAGATAGAGAGCTCTAGCTTCAGGTCAGCAGCACTCTATGGGTGTACAGATGAGGGTAGCAGGGGAGGGTGGATAGTGCCAATGATGGTTTCACTCAGTCAAAAGACTTGATCTTCCAAGTCCAGGACAAAGGGTGAATTCAAGGAGTAAACAATTGGGAGTTGTTTCAAGTTCTGGAGCACATGACCAAGATCATCTGGGCATTAACAATAAGCATAAAAAGGTCCTGAGGTGGTGCTGTAAGATAAGCACTGGACTACTAACAGCAAGCCAACTGCAAGGTTAGCAATTCAAATCCACCGGCTGCTCTTCAGAAACCCTATACAGGATCTCTCTGAGTCAGAACCGACTAGATGGCACCTAACAATAACAGTAAATGAATGATGTACTTATTTGACAATTACAATCAACAAGTTTCCATTTTTCTTGGTAATTTTGCATCTCCTTTTTTCTTCTTATCTCTTAGTAAAGAGAAAATAAGTTCTTCTCTGTCACTGCCATTTTTTATTTCAAGTAGCCTGAAGTTATTCATATTCTCTGGTTTCCCCTTAACAGTCTTACAACCATCTGTCCTATGTCACAAAGTCCTGTTTCCTGATAAATAAAAGGATGAGTTCCACCACAAACCCTGCTCACCAAAATATATTAGCAACATGTTCCCATCAAGAATATGTAAGAAAAGTACCAGATTCAATTATAAAAGTACCAGCTACTTATAAAAGTATCATTACGTCGTTTGGGGGTAATGATCGACTACCTCTGTTTTTTATCAGTCCACCCCATGAAGGATATTAAACAGACAAGCAAACAACAAACATGCGGAAAGAAGTATATATGGGTGGCAGAACCAGCCAACCCAGCAGCAAATGCAATCAGATGCCTCATTGTAACTCACTCCACAATATAAACCTGGCACTGTTGACTCTGTTCTGACCCATCACAACCCTACAGGACATTGGAGCACTGCCCCACAGATTTCCAAGGCTGTAAATCTTTACAGGAGTCCTGATGTAGTGCTATAGGATAAGCACTGGATTGTTAACCACAAGGTCGGCAGTTCCAATCTACCAGCTGCTCCTCGGAAACCCTATGAGTTGGAATTAACTCAGTGGTACTTATCAACAACAACAGTAAATTTTTTACAGCAGATCAGCAGGCCTTTTCACCCACGGTGAGTTTGAACCATTGACCTTTTGGGTAGCAGTCAAGTGCCTTAACCACATGATACAAAGCAACCACTTAAAGCAGAGGTTCGAGGTCAGTGTCGTTGTTGTTTCTAAGTGCCATTGAGTTGGTTCCCACTCTTGGCAATGCTTTATATGGTTTCTGAAGAGCAACTGGTAGTTTTGAACTTCTGACCTTGTGGTTCACAATGCAGTGCTGATCCTATAGTGCCACAACAGGAATCCTGGTCAATAACTACTTCAAAATAAAAATAAGAATGTACAGGGTGCAGGGAAGCTAGATTAAAAGAAACAGAACAACCAGAACGGAAATATTGAGAAAGTTCATGTATTGTAGAGAATGTAATCAATGTTACTGAACAATTTGTGTAGAAATTGCTAAATGGAAACTCAATCTGCTATTTAAACCTTCACCATATACACAATAAAATACAATTTTAAGAAGAAGAGCAGACACCCTTGCTAAGTGAGACTTAGGGGCTATCACTGGAACTAATACTTCAGCTGGAAAACACTGCAAAGTCTTACAGACTAACTAGTTCGAATCTCCAAATCTTCTTTAAGAAGAACTGCAATCTACCTATTCAGTCAAAAGTATGCAAACCCCAAACCTATCACAAATGTGAGAGGTCACAGGGCACTGATCCTTTTTTCTAGTCCAAATGCCATGAGGTAAATAGGCCTGATCTGTTTCTTCACTTAATTTTGTTTTTTTGAAGGAAGCGTGCCCCACCACTGCAGCCCTGGTAGAGAGCCAGTGCCAGATGGAAAAGGGGCTGCTGGCCCAAGATGAACTTGAGACTTTATCTGGTCACATATGATTTTAAAACCCCGGAGTTCCGGTTTGGATGAGGATTTGCTACTCTTTGAATCTGTCCAGGTGAATAAGCCTCCTAAGATCCCTGCCACGTGAAGACAGTCCTTGTTGAAGAACAGGTTGTTTCTAAGTCAAAAGAAGGTCCCCAAATGACAACAAAGCTGTAAGAATTGCAGTTTATAAATAAAGGGTAAGAAATGGATGTATACACATGAAATCATCAAAATTCAAGCCAAGTAGAATTTTACCACAACTAACTACAGGCTTGAAGAAAATGTACAGCAACCTCTTTAACCTCGCTCTTAAAAAAAATAAAAAAAGTTGCTGTCAAATGTCAGAATAGAACTGTGCTTCCGAGGGTTTTCAATAGCTGAGTTTTCAGAAGTAGCTCACCAGGAATTTCTCCTGAGGCACCTGTAAGTGGACTCAAACCTCTAACCTTTTGGTTAACACCCAGGGATTCCAACCTAACTCCTACCAACAGGATGAAGCAACATTAGTATTCTAGGATGCATAAGTGAAAAGGATGAGGCATCTGTGAGGATCAAATGGAAGGAGGAAATGAGAGATTAAGTGAGGAGGAGTAATGAGAGTCATCTTAACAAGTGGCTGCTTTAGCCAGCTCTGAGGACACTAGTTCCAGAGGCTCGGCTTCTCCTTTACAAAGAAGGACGGGAGATAGAAGACTATAACTCTAATCCCAGTTAGCAGCATGGTAATTAAAAGAGCAAGTGAATCTACTTCAAAATTATTTAATATCATTGAATCATCATTTTTATCAATAGCTTCATTCCTTCAAACGAGATTAGCAATCATTTCAGCTTCCAAGTTTCTTGCTACTTCACATGCTAAAAATTAATGTCTTGTTCATAATTCCTCTTATAATCCTAAATACAAAATTGTTATTCAGTTAAGAAGAATGTTTTCAGTGAGATTTGCTTCCTGTAAAAAAAAATCATTCTAAAGATAGCAATTTCAGAATCTTCAAATTAATAAATTGCTGTTAAATACCGTGGAGTCGGTTCTGACTCATAGCAATCCTGCACAGGGTTTCCGAGGCTATAAATCTTTATGGGAGCAGAAAGCCTCATCTTTCTCCCGTGAAACGGCTGGTAGTTTCAAATTGCTGACCTTGAGGTTAGCAGCCCGTTAGTGGTTAATTATTTAAATATTGAAAATCAGGAAATAATCTTCGTAAGTTTAGAAAGTAATTAGAAGAAATTAAGGTTAGAAAAAAAAAAATTTAAGTGAAGAAACAGATCAGGCCATTTATCTGATGGCATTTGGTCTAGAAAAAGGCTCTGCTGACATCACAATGAAAATGAAAAAGAAAAAACTGGAGTGGTACCAAAGAGATCCGTATTATCTCATGGGTATTGTAGGGTAACAACCGAACCCTGACCTCTCTTCTAGGGACTTCGACAACTGCTTATTCCACTACTGCATGAATGTAAGGCAGGTGGGTAGTTTTTCTTTTCTTACATTCACCCAAGTCTTACTTGAAGGCCTGCTAAGGACCAAGGATAGAAAGCTACTCCTTGCTACTGAAGTAGTAACTTGCTCATAAAAACTAGTTTCTAGAGAAATGCCAGTGTAGCAAAGAGACAGAATCAGAAAGCAGACAATCACATGTGCAACAACAGAAATGCAGGCACAGGGTGTGGCCAGAAAGGGATGTGTAAAACAGAATCAGCAACCCGAGAACACTTGTCAGAGGAGGAGATCTATTTTCCCCACAACTTTCTGAGAAAGAACCCATTCATGGGAACTGTCAGGTTTCTGTTAGGTCAAAGAAGTCCTAGAAGAAATAGACTAGGTGCTAAATGGGATTTAATGAATTATAGTCCATGTAACACAATCATTGCCGAAGTGAGAAAGTTCCTTAAAATGGTGTCAATTGGCCACATGTGAAGAAAGTTCCAAGTCTCAAAATTAGTGGCGTGACACCAACCCTCAAATGCTGGCAGAACTTCTATTTTCATGAGCAAATATTATCACTGGAGTATTGTTTATAGTAACAAAATACTGTAAACTACCTAAAAGTCCAATAGTCTGGGTTAAGTTAAAGAAGTATATTGGGACACTGCACAGTTCTTAACTAGAATATGAACCAATAGAGACCAGTCTGCAAATAACATTGTTAAAGTTTGAAAAAGAAAAGGTGTAAAGACCAGAATGTGTGTCTGTATAGTATGCTATCCACCAC